GTGATTGCGGCTACCGTTGTTCAGTTGGTTGGGGGGTGATCGTAGTATTGCACAAATTAGAAGTATATTCCTTTAATGTCATTATCTAATTTAAAATAAGACAAATATCAGTTTCATTTGCTTCATATATAATTATTGGGACTATGTATTGCAAGTCATCATGTGTTCCTTCTATCTAACATTATATTTCACAAATATTGAAATATTATTCAATAAGCAGTCAATATCACAGCGAGTTAGGAATCAGTAAAGCCCCATTATCATGTCCGTTCACATTAACGAGCTGGCGTACTTTTTCTCAAAAAACTGACACGTGAGTCATAAGTAACATACCATGTGCTATACAATTTTGGTTTGTTGCATTGCGTGTATATTGAAAAACAAAACCTAGAGAGTGGATTTAACCAAATCCACTCCACAACCATTTCAGAGTCTCAGATATATATATATATATATATCATGAATAAAGTCAGTCAGTGACTCATATATATTATTCCCTAATCCCTCATCTTCAGCTTGGTTTGCATCTTCTGTCCGGCTGCCCAATTTCACAATATCTTCCACACGATTTTTCTCATCTGTCACACACAAAGATAACAACATTCATCATCATCATCATCTTCATGAATCAATCAATCAATTAACTTCAAGGAAAAATCATCATCATCATATTAGATTTAGATTCCTATACATATACGGTGTAAACAAAATTCACTCACCTTTATCTTTGGAAAGGTTGCCTATGAGTTCTTGGATGCCCTCCTTGCCTAAAGTATAATTCAAGTAGTTCGGAGCAACTGCAACCTCATTAGGAGTTACTTTCCCATCAAAATCCATGCACACATATTGTAAACCTCATACCTTTAATTACATGGACAAAATTCCAATGCAGTACCATCCATCAAAGTTTAACATTACTAGTATCCCTCAAAATGAGTTTAATAACAACTCAAACCGACTACAGATTGAAAGACAAGAAAAGAAGGATTGCTTCCATTCAGTAGGAAGTACGATTTCTAACAGAACTCATAGGAAAAGAAAACCAAAGACGAAACAAGACGAGTTCACCAGTCAAGTAATTGCCAGAGATCACCAATATGCGCATATATAATCAATTTCCGTCTCAAGGTTTTGAAGCATTGCATCCACCTGATACATAGAAGATACGATAATCCATCAAGTGAACACGGGGTAAGTAAGTTAAAAGTAGATAATTCAGAATTTCATATATAACCTTGTCTATAAGCGCTGATGAAACCTCGTCACCTTCAGCCTCAACAGAAGTACTGTCACTTTCATCATGAGCAACTTTATATGCCTTCAAGGCATCCTTTTCACCATCTGTACCCTCTTTCTCCACCATGCCATTGTAAAGTTCAATCTGGAAAGATCAAAAGAATCAACTTAAGCAAAATATTCCCAAAGACAATGCATTTGGACTCAAACAAGAACATACAGAAGTATTCTTCTGACTTGAACATGACGCTGAAGACAGAGTTGCATGCATTCACATAATGTGTAGAAGACAGCTCATAAGTAAATCACATTAAAAGTTAAAAAGTCGTCAATCTACACATCCTTCAAACTAAAAGGGGCCAAAGCATAGTGGACATCAACATCCAAATTCTTCCAATACATCCACAGTACAAGCAGAAACATGGAAATCAGAACTGCAGACAATATTTGTGATGTACGGTCCTCCTGATAAACTGTAAGCAGTTAAACCTCCAATGCGTCTGCATATATCGAGCATGAGAAGACTAGCATGCCATGCATACCTATGGTAAGGGTACCAACGATAAATGCTTCCATCTTAATAGATACCTAATATAAACTAGGAGTAATTAAGGGTTTTAAATTACCTCCAAATTGACAAGTCTCAGGAACGCTTCACGCTCCCTACTAACTGACTGAAATAATGAGTCAATAACAGAAAAAATTAAAAACTGTTAAGCCATAGTGTAGATGATAGTGCTTGAAAATTTGGAAAATGAAAAATGAAAAATCAACAATCATAATCATTGAGAGTTATTAAGTCCAGTCCTTACAGATGCAGAAGCCAAAACAGCCAATGCACAACTTATTTCGCAGATCTTCTCTTCCTTTTCTAGTGTCCTTGCCCTTGCTTGTTCTCGTGCTTCTTTTGCTGTTGGAATAATCATCTCTTTCAATGCCAAATCCTCTTCACTGGCTTTAATTTCCTTCATCTTGGCTTGCTCTTCTTTCTCTCTCTTCCTCCTTCTGCAATATAATAATTTAGAATCTCTGGATGACAGTCATAATATTGATTTCAGGAGTTTTGTTTTCAACATTATTATTTGATTGCTCATCCTTTTTTTATTTTTATTTTTTGGATTCCGAATTTCAGCCAAGTCCAAAACAAATGCATCAAAACTGGCTTAACAAAATACACACTTATTTTCCTCCTGATGAAATACAGATTAGCAAGTTTAGTTCTGCAGCTTCCTAAAGCACCAATAGATATCTATAAAGCTATCAAGATAAAAGAAAAAATATTCCAACCTTCATCAGTTCTTCCTGCATATGAAGGAAGTCCAATTTCCTTCGCCTTTCAAATATAGAATCTTCAGATGGCAATGACGTAATACCGACAGTATCTACCACTTTATCTGGTAGAGAATACAGTGTAGCTAGAACATCATTAGCTGGAACCAACCTTCCAGACACAATGAAGGCCCTGCAAAAAGTGATATTACGGGAACATGATTAGGAACAACAAGAACCATTAAAAAATCAGCAGATGGTTTGGCAAAAAATGGGCCAATATGGAATTGTCTGACTTAAGAAGCTCCACATGTACTTTATATAAGCTTCCTAAAGAAGGCAATAGTGAACAAAACAACCACAATTTTCTGAAGCAGTCCAATATTCTCCATTTTCTAAAAAACAAACAATTCCAGATAAAATAAAAACAAACCAATCCTATGTTTCTATATAGGTGTAAGAGAATCATGACTTGAAACAAATAATCTACAGGGGCACCTTCAGAACAAGGAATTCAGATCCATATGTTACATTCTACAGCAAGCCATATCAAAGGAGGTCTACTTAATGCTCTTGCAATACTTCAAATCTTGCTCAAGCATCTCATGAAGATGCCTGTTTTCAACTTTCCCATGTTCCAATACTTCAAATATTAACACCAAAATATGTGTATTTTAATGGCTGATTAGCATCACACTCACACAAAATCTAATAGCATAAGAAACAAGCAGATTCCCATTCATTTCAATTAATACCTCCATTTCCTAATATCAGCAAGTGGGTCCATCGAATAGTAAGCTAATCTTACAATTCATAACAACCATGTCAACCAAGAGCATAGGTACTGGTAATTTAGTAACACAACTTCCATTAATACTAAAAGAATTTAATAACCTGTCCACACAAAATTGCAAGCTGCCCAGCCACTAAAATTGTAAGGCTAAAATCTGAAATATGCAAAGATCAATTAAAAACTACAATAATACCATTACCAATGATCAATTAAAAACAAGTAGTCTACTTCATAATTCATAAAGCCAAAGCTCATAAATTAGGCATTGAATGAATCCCTAAATTAGAATTTTGAAAATTAATCCCTAAGTTCTAAATGCCCAACTGAATCCCTAATTCCTAAACCCCAAAAGTAGAATTTAGAAAGGAAAAAAAAAATTGAAATTGAATGACATGAAGATGAAGAGAACCAGAGAAGTAGGTGGTTCAGGTCAGGAGGAGTACTGAAATTTGAAGACGGAGAAGAAGAGAACTAACAGTTAGAGAGCAAAGGAGATGAGGCTGGAGCGGCGCCATGAATGCCCCTACTGTTGCAATAATAAAGAAAGGGGGATCAACGAATTTATAACAGACAGAGAGTACAAAACCAATATCAAAACTCACCACTGTGGAGAACGACGATGGAGGTCGCGACTGTGGCTTCACGGTGGAGGTCGACGACGGAGGTCGTGAGTTGCGGCGGCTTGGTTAGGGTCAAACTAGGGTTCCGAATTTGAGGAGAGCTAGGTTATGACGATGGATGGGTGGAGAACGGGATTGGACAGTAGCGAGATGGCTGGCGAGCTGAAGCTGAGGCAAGATTTGGGAGAGTGCGAGAGAGGAGAGGAATTAGGAGAACTTGGGCGTCAGAAAATGAATTTTTGAGGTGATAAAGTGTCAATAATAAAAGAAGACTCAAAACCCTCCATTGTGTCTGTGTTGGTTGCAAGATATTTATTGAACGGATTTTGGTTCTTTGATAACCACAAACCAGAGATGGCAACAGAGAGAGAGAGAGAATAACATATTACAGAGTGGGTGGCTGGCGAGGAAGGAGGGTTAATGATGAAAGAGCGTGTTCTGCACTTTCGGATTGCCTCTTTTGGTATGGGGTAATTTCAACCCGGTTTTACCAAAAAGACAACATTGAAAACTCACCATTGGATTTTATCCGACGGCTCTTAGATACCCCTCAAAAACACCCCTTATAACTTTCCACTCACTATAGAAGCACTCTTGGGACTGTGTTATATTGGACCTGAAGCCCATGTTTGGTTAGCAAAGGGGACTAACTTTAAAAAAAAAAAAAAAAAAAAAAAAAAAAAAAAAAAAAAAAAAAAAAAAAAAAAAAAAAAAAAAAAAAAAAAAAAAAAAAAAAAAAAAAAAAAAAAAAAAAAAAAAAAAAAAAAAAAAAAAAAAAAAAAAAAAAAAAAAAAAAAAAAAAAAAAAAAAAAAAAAAAAAAAAAAAAAAAAAAAAAAAAAAAAAAAAAAAAAAAAAAAAAAAAAAAAAAAAAAAAAAAAAAAAAAAAAAAAAAAAAAAAAAAAAAAAAAAAAAAAAAAAAAAAAAAAAAAAAAAAAAAAAAAAAAAAAAAAAAAAAAAAAAAAAAAAAAAAAAAAAAAAAAAAAAAAAAAAAAAAAAAAAAAAAAAAAAAAAAAAAAAAAAAAAAAAAAAAAAAAAAAAAAAAAAAGCATGGATTTGGCATGTGTGGCATCTCTTAACAAAGTCATGTGCATCTTTCTTCATGGTAGGCCAGTAATATCCAACGCTTAGTAGCTGCCGGTGAAGTTTCTTGCATGGCTTGACGTGCCTCCGATTCTCCCAAGCATTTTAGCAGCTCACCATTAAATCCTTTCCGGTAAAGAGTTGACCCATCAACGAAATACCTCTTTACGGTCTTTTTGAGCTTGTAGGCAAGCTTGGAGTTGGTCGGCAGAGTTCCTCCAACAAAGAATGCCAAGTATGGAGTCCTCCAATCTTCTATAAATGAAACAGTGAATGACTCCTCCGTGGAGGGTATCGTAGAATAGGTGAGACAACTGGATTGTAGTTCAACTGCTTGCTTCTTCATCTCTGGCCAATAATAACCTTTGCGTTGCAAGCGCCGATACAGGCTGATTACTGGTTCCAAGCTGCAAGTGGCATCGTGTACCTCTTGCAACCTCCTTCTTGCTTCCGCCACCCCAACGCACCGGGTCAAAACACCTCCCGGAAGACGTCTGTAGAGTTCCCCAAAGATAATCACATAATCTTTCAAGTCTTTAATGCTGCTCTCTTCACCTAATTTTTTCTTCAGTGGCTTTCTCCAATCATCCTCTTCCAGCAGGTTCTCCTGGGCCATTGCTTCGATCACTGGTGTGCTTCTCCTTATTACGGTGATGTTAGGCTCCTCTTGCACAAATGAGAGCTTTGATCCCAATATGGCCAAAGCATCAGTGTACCTATTGGTGACTCCCGGAATGTGCTCTATCACAATTTGCTTAAAGAATTAATGAGCCTTTCAGCATCTGTCCGATATGGTTCTAAGGTTGCTTCTTTCACAGCAAAGCTTCCTTGCAACTGACTTAGTACTAGGTTCGAATCACCGATGATCTTCACCCTTTCTGCACATATTTCTCTTGCTGTGGACAATCCCATAATAAAAGCTTTGTACTCTGCCGCATTGTTCGTGCATGGAAAGTCTAGCTTGAATGAGAGAGCCATAGCTTGCCCATTGGGATTAATGAGCACCACACCTGCCCCTCCACCTTTTGTCATGGAAGACCCATCAAAGTAGAGGGTCCATGGCTCCTCCTCTGTAACAGTAGCAACCATTTCTCCTAGGACTTCCTCGGAAAGAGTTGATTCCTCTACTTCGGGGAATAGAGCTAGCATGTCAATCACGGCTTGTCCCTTGATGGTCTTAAGAGCTGTGCATATGATATCAAATTCGGAAAGCTGTAACAACCAACGTGCGAGGTGACCAGATAACACCGGCCTTGTGAGCAGATATCTTACGGGGTCAGACTTTACTATGAGCTGTAGCTTGTGAGCAAGGAAGTAGTGTCGCAAGCGCTGCGCAGCATAGACAAGAGCAAGGCATAAGAGTTTTATTTTTGGGTATCTTGCTTCAACTCCTCTCAGTTGTCGGCTTACATAATAAATGGGGCTTTCTTCCCCGTCACGGCCATCCTGGGCAAGCAAAGCTCCAACCGCAGCATTCGTGGCAACCAAGTAAAGCTTGAGTGGAAGTCCCAAAATAGGTGCCCTCATTGTGGGTAGCTTGGTGATCAGTTGTTGTACCCTTTGGTAAGCTTCTTGGCATTCCTGACTCCATATATATGGCTTCCCTTTTTTGAGTAGAGGAGTGAAAACACTCATCATGATAGCAAGGCCTGGAATAAAACGCCGAATGTATGACAATCTTCCCATAAAACTTTTCAACTCCTTTGGATTCTTAGGTGGTGCAAGAGAGCATATGGTTTTGATTTTCTCAGAATCCACATCTATACCACGCCGGTGTACCTTAAAGCCCAGGAACTTGCCGGATGAAAGTCCGAATGCGCATTTCTTTAGGTTCATTTTTAACCCATACAGCCGGCACCTTTCCAGCACCCGCCTCAGAATTCCTTGATGAACTCCTCTAGTTTTGGACTTCACTACAAGGTCATCCACGTAGTCCTCCACCTCTTTTCCCATCATATCATGAAACACCGCCGTCATGGCCCGTTGGTAGGTAGCGCCGGCGTTCTTGAGACCGAACGGCATGACCGTGTAGTAGAAATTTCCGTAGGGATTTCGAAAAGCTGTTTTCTCGGCATCCTTGGGAGACATCTTGATTTGATGATAGCCACTAAATTCGTCCAACAACATGCCTTGACTCGAGGTTGAATCGATCAAAATATCCATGTTGGGCAGTGGGAACTCATCTTTTGGGCAGGCTCGATTGAGATCACGGTAGTCTGTGCATATTCTAATTACCCCAGTTTTCTTCTTCACGGGCACAATATTTGCTAGCCATGCCGGGTGTTTGATTGGCTTGATGAATCCAGCAGCTAACGGCTTTTCAATTTCCACCTTGATTTGCTTGTCAATTTCAGGATGAAAATTCCTTCTTGGCTGTACAACAGGTTTTGTACCGAGCTCAATATTCAGCATATGACTTACCAAATTTGGATTAAGGTCGGGCATCTCTTCGTAACTCCAAGCAAACATGTCTCGAAATTCCTTCAACAAAGACACCAAAGCTTCCTTCTCTTCCCATGTTAAATGAACACTGACAGAGATAGGTCTTGGGACAGAGGGGTCATTACTCAAATCAATTGTTTCCAACTGCTCAGCTACTGCCGTTGAGCCATCTTGCATGTGCTTGGGTGCTGTCATTGGTTCTTGGAAAGCACAAGGCAGGAGTGCCTTGTCATTTGGACTCTTACGGCCGTCTGCTTGCATGGCTTCTCCTCCATACTTGGGGCTTTCCCGTAGGATACGGTCAAGCCACCAATCCCGTCATAAGCGGTATACAGTGCGTCCATCTGGCAGCGTCACCTTTGAGCATTGAGGATGATCGTAGGCATGGTTGTTGACCTCCGAGTGGATCAACGATGGTTATGAGCTCCTCGTTGCTCAGATCACGAATTTTGGTCCATGATGGCAGATAGGTCCCAAAATCCTTGGATGGGTTGCTTCCGGTGCCTGTGCATTCAGTGTAGAATTCTACCTCGGAGTAGTGAGCTTCGCTTTGGTTGAACGGTGCTTGGTTCCCAGGTATATGAAGTGGCCTTAGCCCAATCCTTCCTTTTACACATTGATGGTAAGTAGAGACCACAAGTTTATGCTTATTGAGACATGGCCTTCCCAGCAAAGCGTGATAAGCCACATCTACGTCTACCACATAGAACTTGGTAAGTGACCGGATAGGCCCTACCTTCAAATTTACTTACATGTATCCAACTATAACTTCACTTTGATTCCCAAAGCCGCTAATGCTTGTCTGGGACTGCACGATCTTGGATAGTGGAATACCAGCTGCTGTAAGTACAGACAGAGGCAAAATGTTGACAGAAGAACCCGTGTCTACCAAAGCCCTCCGTATAAACACATCATTGATCTGCCCTTCCAGGTAGAGTGGCCTCCTATGATCCGGGTATGGAACTTCCTTGTCTTCATCCGTGAAAACAATAGCATTGTCGTTTTCCAAGAATGACCTTTGAAGTTGAACAGTAAAGCAATGGGGGTTGGATTTTGCATAAATATTCATGAGGGCTACAGCAGCTGCTTCCCTCGCTTGAGGCCCGAAACCAAGTTGGTCAAAGAGCGACTTAACTTTTGGATTCCTCTGGAGGACTTGTGAAGCTGTGGGTCCTTGTTCAAGCCTAGATATCGCTCCATTACAATCGCCTCAGCTTCTGTAAGAGTATGTAATGTTACAGCAGCCGTTTCCTGCTGTCCGGACGAGGCTCCCTGGTATTATTCTTCTGGCATGTCCAACATGAACACTCCATTGTCTGCACAGCCATTCCATCCATCAGCGAGTGGCCATGGCGTGTCGTAGCTCGATGGTTTCGAGTACTTGCACCAGTAAGCTTTATCCATGTTTCCACAAGGCTCCCAAATGGCCTCCGGTGGCTTCGGATCATTCCTCCATGGATGGCACAATTCGTCATCATCGAGGAAATCATCTGAACATGTAATAACAGCAGCTGTCTCTTTCCCCCTTCGTTTCGGCAAAGGGTCTTCATCAATAGTTTGCTTCCTAGAGGGAAGCTCAAGAACCCCCTCATGTATTTTGCCATGTAAGATCCTCCTTAAACTCTGACAAGCAGTGATCGGATGTCCTACAAACTGGTGATAGCGACAATATCTGGGATCACTCTTTTCTTCCCTGGTGGGAACCTTGTGGGGCCTGAGGGGCTTGATCGCGCCATCAGCAATCATCGTGTCGAGGATGGCATGAAACTCTTCATCTTTGCAAGGTAATGGCGGGTATGTCTCCCAATCCTTTTGTTTGCGTGCACTGTAGTCATTAGATGGCTTATCGTCTGTGGCTAACGTCTGATGTGATTCCTTCTTCTCACTCCTCCAACTTCTTTGTCCAACCGGTTTGACAGACATGCTCGTCTTTCTTACTACTTCCAGCAGCTGGGAAAATGGACTGATGTCAATATTTTCCAAGTACACTCTATAGTCTGCTACAATGTTGCTGATACAAATCTCAACAAGTGCCTCTTCATCCTTTTCGTCATAGCAATCGAGAGCCAAGTCCCGGAACCTTCTCACAAAGTCCACGGGATCCTCCCCTTGCTTTTGGCGAGTGTTGTTGAGTTGTGTGGTGGTGACCCTCTCCTCGTGCTGAAAATATTTTTTCCAAAACCTGCTTGCCAAATCGTCTCAAGAACGCATAGAGCCTGGTGCCAATGTGGTGTACCATGTATAAGCCCGATCAGTGAGGCTCTTTGAGAATTCTCGAAGTCGAAGATTATAATCAGCGGCGTGTGGCCCTAAAGCATCAAGGAATCGGTTGACATGCTCCTTCGAGCTTCCTTTCCTCCCATCGAAAAGAACAAAGGTTGGTATTTCGTAACCTTTGGGATAGGGCTGCTGGAGTAAGCTTGCTGGGTACGGCGGCTGAGGAATGTACTTCCAATCCTCCTGGCTTCGACTAAACTCCTTCTCCAGCATGGCAACGACATCCTCTTGGGTGACAAAAGACGGTCCCTTTTGTTCAGACCCCTTTCTAGCAGCGGCAGATTCTTCTTGTGGATGTCTGTCATCTTCGCTTGGCTTGGAGGCAGCATTTTTTAATTCTTTGATAGTATCCATCATCTCCCTCTGGGTTTCCCCCATAGCCTGCATAGCTATGATGAGATCAGTAAGGGTGAAAGCTCCCTCACTTGCATGTTCTTGTCCTCTAGATGAGGCATTTTGCCTCGACTCGAAATCACCATGGTCGGGTCCATCTTGGGAGGCCATGGTATTGCTTCTGGTTTTCTTCTTTGGAGGCATCAGTAAAATGGCAGCTTGTTCCCCAGCAGAGTTGCCAATTTATGTAGGGGGTTTTTTGTTCCAGCAGCCTGACGAATGGGCTTGGGCTGCTGTAAGAAGACGACGAACAAAATCCCCCAGATGCCTGAGTTCGAAACCAAGCTCCCAAAAGGGTTTTAGAAAATCTGATGAGATTTTAAAAGAACACTCTTAGGATCACTTTACTAACACCCAAATAAGCATGATAAATTCACTAATGGCTTAGCCTGAGGAGCCTGTGGCATGGGAGCTAAGCTTTCACAAGTTTAGCAATTTGAGAGAGAGAGAGAGAGAGGCATGAGTTCCTATAGAGAAAAGAAGCCCGAAGTGAACAGGGGAATATTAGCCCGACTTCTATACTAAGGGGAAGAAGAAGAATGAACGAAAGAGGGAATTGGGTGCCTTGAGCGAATTCTCAGATGCTTGACAAAGCTTGGTCAGGCTATCAATGGTTGGTTTTTCTGGGTAGCAAAAGCCTCCTTTTATAGGCGTTAAGAGCCCTAATTTTGTCTAGTCTTCCTCTTCCTTTTCCCTTGGCAACTCCCTACTTAGTCCTATTTTGGTGCAATTCTCTTATCAAGGCATATGGGAAAGGAACCATTGTGGTTCCAACGATTTTGACGCAGCTGGACCTCCCCACAAGGGTGAGGCGCCACTTTGCTTTTTCTCAACGTTTTCAAAACAGAGCTTCTAATGGGGAAAGAGATGGGTGGAGCCTTTTGTCCGATAGGCATTTTCCCTTTACCCATGAATTTCTGCTGGTTCTTGCCTTGGCCCTTTGTCTGACTTGTTTAGAGTCTCATCAGAGGTGGAACACGATGACAGCTTTTCTACAAGCTGCTGGACTGGGCTTGTGTGTAACGTTGGGTTTCTGGCCTATTATTTCTAGTGAATTTTCGTCAAACTGCTGGAAAGGGCTTTTGCTAATTTCTTTGGGGCACTCTATTGATGTGGGTTGAGCTAAGTATTTTGGTGGGTTACTTGGTGTCTTCCTAGAGCATGGGGCAATTTTCTCTTCTCTCTCATGCTAACCCATGTGCTTGGGTTCTAAGAACGGGCTTGAGTTTTAAAGCCCCCAAGTGGCTTAAAAACTTGCGTCCCTTGAACCCTCAATGGACCCTGTGATTGCTCGTTTCCTTCCATACCACAACCTTCTCAGTAAGCCCCGGCTAATTTTGTGGCTTGGGCCCACTTCAGCTCATGGCATAGCTTGGTGTTAGAATAGTGGCTCTTCGTGCATGATATCTATGCTCGTGCTTGGGGTTTTATTATGTCGTGATAGACTTAATTGGGCCAAGTAGCACCGAATGAGCATGTGAGCGTGATTTAGTAATGTCGGTATGTTCTTGGCCCCTTCTGCACGTGCTTGCTTGGCATGATTCGTGGCTTGTAGCTTGTGTTGGCGGCTCTTATAAATTTTCTTTTATCCCGATTGAGCCTATTTTGCATCCAATCACCTGTGTTGGGCCAAAGATTAATTTGGGTTTAGCCCCTTGGATTTTTGGGCCTCAACAACATTTAAGTGCAGGAGTGATGGCAAATGCATTAGATGAATGAATGTCTTCTAAAGATGAATTTTATATCCCTCAAGTTAGAGATGATAAAAAACAGAAAGCAAGGCTAGCATTCAAGTCATTGGATGAAACATACGAGTTCTACAATGATTACGCAAAGGATGCTGGATTTAGTGTCAGGATTAGTAAGGAGAAGAAAAAGAAAGAAACATGTGAGGTTTTTTGGAAACGATACGTTTGTTTTAAGGAAGGTGAAATAGATGAGACGTGGAGAGAAAAAAAAAGACAGTGAGTCTACACAAATAGAAAGAGAACGAGGTAATGTTCGTGAAAATTGCAAAGCAACGTTAACAGTAGTTTATGATGGGTTCAATTTTGTAGTTAAGACTTTCATTGAGGAACATACTCATCCACTTGCAACCCCATCTAGAGTACACTTGTTAAGATCTCATCGTGGTGTATCAAATACAAAAATAAAGTTGGTGAAAAAGTTTTCCAATGTGAACATTCCATTATATCAACAATTCAAACTCTTGGAGACACAAGCTGGCGGACATGAAAGTGTTGGGTTCATAGAAAGAGATTTAAGAATTTTTGCGCGAGATGAGAGGGAGAAAATAAAGGGTCATGATGCAGAAATGTTATATAAGTACTTCAAATTGGAGGAAGATAAGGATTCCGATTTCTTTTTTAAGTTTGAGACAAATAATATCAGGAATGAGAGGTGAACCAACAAAGCCTTTCTCCATGCTTCTGATTTATCAATTGATGGCAAAGGTGCACATAACATCAAAACTGAACACATTTGCACTTAACACCAGCTTCGTCAGCTCAGCTAGGCTTGCTTTTCCGCCTACTCCCATTTTGTAGAATCTGACAGAATCTGTAAAAGTCATCCAGGCTTGATTTTCTTTCAAAGTTTTTATCCTCTCTAACTGATTTCATATTTTCTTTGACCATGAGAGGACTTGTTCCATTTCCTTCCCTTCTCTATTGCTAGAAACACAAAAGGAGTTCATTCATTTACAGACTTCTAGAATACGGCAAGATCAGGTAACTATCAGTAAAAACAAAATTCATTTATAACATTCAGTTATCAATTACATACATATGAACAGCACAACAAATATCATAGTTGTAAGGTAATCAACTTCTCTCTTGTAGAGGAGCTTCGAATTAACCAAATTCAACCAATTATAGGCAGTTTTTTTTTTTAAATCATATTATCTACCTATAGGAATTCAACCAATTCAAACCAACCAATTACACGCTTTGATATGGTTGAGAGAAAAATAAAAACCTGGTAACAGAGAAGGAACACAAATCTCTGAGAAACTACAGGACGATTCACTAGAGTGAAAACTTGACATGGACATTTTCTATGCCAGAGAATTGAAAGTAACCAATCATATATTAAGATGCATACAAGGGTTTCCCAATTCATTCCCAATTTCTAGAAATCAAAGGGTTTATTCTTTTCCCAACTATAGACAGATATTTGTTCAGATGTGTACAAGGAATAGTTACAGTACTTCCAAAATAAAAAAATAACAGAAACCCAATTGAAATTCCCATATATGGGTTCATGATTTCAGATCCAAAAATTGAGTGAAAAACTTTTGAAGAACAAGAAACTGACCTTGTTGAAGTGCGAGGGAATGAGTGCTCCGGATTTTCGCTCGCTACGCCGGAGTCGGAGTTTGTGGCTGCAGTGATGGGAGGAAGCAAAACGCGAGCGGGAGGAAGAAGAACAGATTTTGGGTTTTTAGTTTTTAGTTTTTTCCTTTTTTGTTAAGTGAAATTTAAAAGGTGAAAGAAAAAAGATATTTTAAAGTAAATTTTTCTTAACCTTTGGATTAAATATAATGGTGGGTGACCATAAGCCTCTTGGACTCCTCGGGTCCAAGAGAGTGGGACTGTATAGATATATTCTTCTATTTACTAAAGTTTCTCTGTAATTTATTAGATTTTGTCAGATTTAAATTTTTATTTATAAGTTTTTCGCTTCTGAAAGATAAATGATATTATTATATTAGTTTCTCTAGTTTCACAGGTCCCAAATTTAGACGCACTCCAACTCAAGTTCTCAACCCTAATCGCTAAAATCCCTCATCTCAGTTGAGATTATTTCTGAAACAGAAAACGCTCCAGCCGTCAGCCACGAACAATCCGCCCATCTCAACCGGCAACTCCTCCATTGTTCGACGCCGTCTTCCTCCCATATACATATTGCTCAGCTCTCCTCTCTCTCGACAGTGACAACGGTTGATGCGCAATCGATCTCATCTCATCCCAAGTATGATGTCTTACTGCAATATATTATAATCCTGGACCCCATCTCATCACAGATTTAAGATCCACTGAACCCCCACCCTCTAGCAACGATCAGTTTCCTTGATTTTGTTTCATATTTCTTTTTTATTCTCTTTCGTTTCTTATTTCATGGGTTCTACAGGGTTTTAGTTGAATTTTTTTTGGCATTCCAAGTTTACTTTATTATTAGTTGAATTAACTCTCCAGATCCTCCTGGTATGCAATTTTAGATTTAAATTTCATATTTTGGTGGGCGAGTTTGAAGTTGTAGAAATTGTTTCTTTATTGTGATAAATTTATCATTCATGAATTTTGAACTTTATGCTACTGATTAGAAGTATATAGCAATGATCTTCTCATAAATTTTGAACTTTCCGTTGATATGAATTTTTTGTGTTGAATATGAATAGGGCCTGTGCAAGTTCATATTATACGGTTTATGCATCTTCTCATAAATTTTGAAATTTCTATTGACATGATTTTTTTTTCTATTGAATATGAATAGGACCTCTGCAAGTTCATAATGGCTGCCACGGACGATGGTTTGAAGAAGCTCGAGTACCTTTCCTTGGTTTCCAAGGTCTGTTCAGAGCTCAAAACCCATATAGGGGTTGGGGACAAAGTTCTGGCGGAGTTCATCACTGAGTTGGGGCGAAACTGCGAGACGGTGGACGACTTCGACACCAAATTAAAGAAAAAGGGTGCCGAGATGCCCGATTACTTTGTCCGTACGCTCCTCACTATCATGCAAGCTATTCTTCCACTGAAGCTAAAGCCTGAGAAGGACTCGAAGAAAGAGAGCGCTTCTGATGGTAGGAAGACCAAGTTTAAGGCTTTGGCCGTCGCCAATAATAAAGATAGAGTCAAGGACATCGAGAAGGAAATTGAGATGGAGACCGAGGAAAAGTGAAACAGAACCGAAGAACAAGATGAAGAGCAAGAAGAAGATAGGCGTAGTGGTAGCGATAGATATAGGGAAGGAGATAGAGATAGAGATCGAGATAGACACGGAGGAGGTAGAGATAGAGACGGGAGGGAAAGGCGAAGGGAAAAGTATGATAGAGATGAGAGGCATAGAGATACACATTATAATGTTGATGGTGACGACAGGGGAAGGCGTACAGATCGATACAATAAGCATAAGAGAGATGGGTATGAAGACAATGGAGATGTTAAGGAAGATGGTGATGATAGGAGAGGTAATAGGGATCGGCAGAATGGCCAGAACCATTCAGATGAGCCCGAATTGTATCAGGTTTATAAGGGCAGGGTTTTGAGAGATGGACACCGGTTGCTTTGTTCAGTTGAATGATTTAAGAGGGAAGGAGGGTCTGGTTCACGTTTCACAAATGGCAACTCAGCGAATTAGCAATGCTAAGGATGTGGTGAAGAGGGATCAGGAAGTTTATGTGAAGGTGATTTCAATTTCAGGTCAGAAGTTGAGCCTTTCAATGAGGGACGTTGATCAACATACAGGGAAGGATTTGCTCCCCTTGAAGAAGAGCTCAGAGGATGATGCTCTTAGGACGAACCCATCTTTTTCAAAGGATGGACCTGTGACTAGGACTGGTCTTTCTGGGATTAGGATTGTGGAAGAGGATGATGTTGGCCCATCACGCCGGCCATTGAAGAGAATGAGCTCGCCGGAGAAGTGGGAAGCCAAACAGTTGATTGCCTCAGGTGTTTTGGGTGTTACAGAGTATCCTATGTATGATGAGGAAACCGATGGGATGCTTTATCAAGAAGAGGGAGCTGAGGAAGAGCTTGAGATTGAGCTCAATGAGGATGAGCCAACCTTTTTAAATGGACAGAGCAGGTATTCTGTTGATATGTCACCTGTGAAAATCTTTAAGAATCCAGAAGGGTCACTAGGTCGTGCAGCTGCTCTTCAGTCTGCACTCATTAAGGAGCGTAGAGAAGTGCGTGAGCAGCAGCAAAGAACCATGTTGGATTCTATCCCAAAGGATCTCAATCGTCCCTGGGAAGATCCAATGCCAGAGACTGGTGAGAGGCATCTTGCACAAGAACTTAGAGGTGTTGGTTTGTCGGCATATGATATGCCTGAGTGGAAGAAGGATGCTTTTGGGAAAACCATCAGTTTTGGGCAGAGGTCTAAACTCTCAATCCAGGAACAGAGGCAGAGCTTGCCTATCTACAAGCTGAAGAAAGAATTGATTGCAGCGGTGCATGAGAACCAAGTGCTTGTTGTCATTGGTGAGACTGGTTCGGGTAAGACAACACAGGTAACGCAGTATCTTGCAGAAGCGGGTTACACGACAATGGGTAAGATTGGTTGTACACAGCCACGTAGGGTGGCTGCCATGTCCTTGGCCAAGAGGGTTGCTGAAGAGTTTGGTTGTCGTTTAGGAGAGGAAGTTGGTTATGCAATTCGTTTTGAGGATTGCACTGGTCCAGATACTGTCATCAAGTACATGACTGATGGTATGCTTCTTAGGGAGATTTTGATTGACGAGAACCTTTCTCAGTATTCTGTGGTCATGCTTGATGAAGCTCATGAGAGGACAATCCACAAAGATGTTCTTTTTGGACTACTGAAGAAGCTTGTGAAGCGGAGACCAGACCTTCGTTTGATTGTCACATCTGCTACTTTGGATGCGGAGAAGTTTTCCGGTTATTTCTTCAACTGTAACATCTTCACTATCCCTGGGAGAACTTTTCCTGTAGAGATACTGTACACTAAACAGCCGGAAAGTGACTACCTTGATGCATGTCTAATAACTGTTCTACAAATACACTTGACAGAACCTGAAGGTGACATCCTTCTTTTCTTGACTGGACAAGAAGAGATTGATTTTGCATGCCAGTCTCTTTATGAGAGGATGAAAGGTCTTGGTAAAAATGTCCCTGAGTTGATTATCCTACCAGTGTATAGTGCCCTTCCTAGTGAAATGCAGTCAAGGATATTTGATCCTGCCCCACCTGGTAAGAGGAAAGTAGTTGTGTCTACTAATATTGCTGAGGCATCACTGACCATTGATGGGATATTTTATGTCATTGATCCTGGTTTTGCAAAGCAAAATGTTTATAACCCAAAGCAGGGATTAGATTCACTGGTCATAACTCCAATTTCCCAAGCATCAGCCAAGCAATGAGCTGGGCGTGCTGGGCATACAGGCCCTGGGAAATGTTACCGCCTCTACACTGAGTGCATACCGCAATGAGATGTCCCCTACATCAATTCCAGAAATCCAGAGGATAAATCTTGGGACTACTACACTTACGATGAAAGCTATGGGGATAAAGGATCTCTTGTCTTTTGATTTTATGGATCCTCCTTCACCCCAAGCACTCATTTCTGCCATGGAACAATTGTACAGTTTAGGTGCACTGGACGAGGAGGGGCTGCTCACCAAATTGGGTAGGAAAATGGCTGAGTTTCCTCTGGATCCACCCTTGTCTAAGATGCTACTGGCCAGTGTGGACCTTGGATGCAGTGATGAGATCTTGACCATCATTGCAATGATTCAGACTGGTAATATTTTTAACAGGCCTAGGGAAAAACAAGCCCAGGCAGATCAGAAGAGAGCCAAGTTTTTCCCAGCCAGAGGGAGATCATCTGACTTTTACTTGCAGTCTATGAGGCATGGAAAGCTAAGAATTTTTTAGGGCCATGGTGTTTTGAGAACTTTGTTCAATCTCGATCCTTGAGGGCACAGGATGTCAGAAAACAGCTTCTCAGCATCATGGACAAGTATGTTCTTCTAATTTATCTTGATGTGTATTCGTGGTTGCATGCATCTTTTTTTCTGGTTTCAGATGTGCATGAATGGTTTTAAAAGATGTAGATTAATGTTTTAGCTTTGCTCATGTTTGGTACATGGTATTTTTGCAGTAGTCGTGAATTAGGCATGCCTTTTGCTGTCTGTACTTGATGGAAATGCTGAAATATTGTTCAGGCCTAGTTTGTGTTTTAAAATCTAGATATATGGTACCTGAGCAGCGAATAGGTCATTACACATTGTCATGTTGATGTTACTACATACACTGTTTTCAGAGCATTATTAGCAGAAGTGCTTTTTTCCACCATTTTTTCAGTGGTTTAAGTATAGTATCTTTATAAATTACAACTACTCTTTTGTGTATAGCTAAATTGCCAGTATATGCTCTTCAAATGTGCTCTCTTGTGCGGACATCTTAGGCATTTTGATACCGCAATTGTTTTTCTTGGTATAGTGTTGTTTGTACAAAATATTGCAAAACTGTTTTAAAAGTTGATATGGATATTCAGATGGCATATTACACATCCTACCATCGCCGTTAACAGTTTTCATTGATTGATATAGCATTGTCATGTAAGCTCTAGGATAAGTTTGTGTATAAAAACCTAGCATAAATTTGTCATGCCAATGTCTCTCTAGGATAAGTTTGTGTATAAAAACCTAGTATAAATTTGTCATGCCAATGTCTCTACTAGCACCCCTTGCTTATAACAGTGATCAACGATTTCTAAGTTGAGTATTCTGATTTGAAGATGAAATTGCATTCTGACTATAGATTGTGAATTTCAGATATAAACTAGATGTTGTCAGTGCTGGAAAGAATTTTACAAAGATCAGGAAGGCAATTACGGCAGGGTTTTTCTTCCACGGTGCTAGAAAGGACCCGCAGGAGGGTTATAGAACCCTAGTGGAGAACCAACCAGTTTATATACACCCAAGCAGCGCCCTCTTCCAGAGACAACCAGATTGGGTGATCTACCATGAGCTGGTTATGACCACAAAGGAGTACATGCGCGAGGCGACGGTCGTCGACCCCAAATGGCTCGTGGAACTGGCACCCAGGTTCTTCAAAGTGGCAGATCCCACCAAGATGAGCAAGCGCAAGCGTCAAGAACGTATTGAACCGCCATATGATAGATACCATGAACCTAACTCTTGGCGTCTTAGTAAGAGACGTGCTTGATGTGTGTCTCTGCTGCTTTTGGTTTTTCTGTATGGATTCAATGTGAATATCTTGTAATTACTTGAGCTAATTTTTGACATTAAGTGCACAAAATTTGTGTGGCTTCATTACTTTTTAACATCCTCGTGAAATTCCTTAAATGTCGCAATAAGGGCGTCATCAATTGCTTATTTTCCTTACTGCAAGCAAGCTGGGGGTTTATTTATTGATTTCTACTTTAGGTGATATTAGTTGTTCCGTTCTCTGGACAATGAATTGATAGGAAATGAAAGAATCATTGTATTCTTGAATGTATTAAGGCATTCAATATTTGATGTATTTTAGTATTCAAATATATATGCCCTTCTCTGCTCCGAGCTTGTTAGCATGGTCTGGGTTTTACCCCAAGAAGTTGAAGAATCAGTTATCAAATATGTTTGTAACGTCTTTCAGAGACCAACAAGTTTAGTGTCAAGAAAACTTGGGGCTAATAACTGTAATAATAGTGAGGGAGTTAGTGTCAAAGCAAATTTGGACTCATTTAGCCACTATAAAGCTGACCAACAAGTTTATGAAAACCAGGTTCATCTGGGTCTGGCCTATGAAGTTTTTTGTTTGTTTTTGGTTACAAGTAATATTGGGAGGAGGGAATCACATCTAGGACCTTCAGTGCAGGGATAGATGCTCTTAACCGCTTGAGCTACAAGCCTCTTGCTAGCCTATCAAGTTTAAGCAAATGGTCAATGCAAGCATTTGGGTTTGCCTACCTAGTTTTCATTATGGCTCTACAAATGTTGGTAATATCCAAGAGAAAGCAGTGATTGGCCTGCAGGCCTTGATGGAATTGAATATGATGGAGCCTTTATGCTACACAACACTATATATCTGCAAGTAATGGGCAAGAACTTGAACATTTCTACAAACTGAAAAGAGAGAAAATGCTTGTGATTGCTTTTCCAGGAAGACCTTCAATCTTGTACTCCACACACAAGATTTAGCACGCATTTTATACATAAACTTTGGTACAAAGCATTTTGCAGCTCACAAGTAAGCCTAATACAATCTTAAAATCCACAAAATAGAGCATTGCAAGCCTGACCAAATACAAAAAATCTGTCTACAAAAAGGCATCTTCTACCATGTGCCCAGAATAAGATGTTGAATTATGAAAGGAAAGAATGACCAAAACAGAGCCACACATTTACAAGGAAAAGCTGACCCCCAATTTACAAGGAGAAGCTGTACGTTGCAAATAGATGACCAAAACACAGCCACACATTGTAATTTGAAATCAAGTCCGCTTTGGCTTTGGCTTAGTTAATTAAAATAACACTATAGCTGGAATTAATACATTAATCGGAATGAGCTTGGATTAAAATGTTAGTGGAGTTTTGCTCACTGTTCTTGCTTTAATTGTATTGTCTTGCTTATTTGTATGATTTATTGTTTGCAAGAACCCTCCTCTAGGGCAATGTTCTTCATGTATGTTTTATAATTGCCTCTGTTATGATTGGATCTGAATAGATCTGTTTATTTCTCTCAATAAACAAAATAAAAATAAAAATACATCAATCGGAGAACTCCGAATTAATTGTTATGACAAGTAATTAACACTAATATAAATCGTATTTATTCCTACTAAGCACTCCAACTTAACTCGTAAACTCTTCTCCAGATACCTGTGCGTGCGCGTACTGGCAATCTTCAACACTTGAACTGAAAAGAGGCATTCAGCTACAGCTACTTTTCTCCTAATTTAGATGCTGCAGCTAAATATCAAAGTAAACAAATTAATACCCGTCAATTTGGAGAAAAGAAAAAATGCAATAAGAAAATAATTATAAAACGCAATTAAAGTTGAGAGAGAAAGAGTACCGTCGCGAGCTTATCTATTAAGAATATGCTAGCTTTAGTTGCCGCTTGATCAAAGCTATCTTCACATAAAGCCAATCATTTAAACCATTCAAGAACTTCAAGTATGCGTATCTCCATGACCTGTTGAATATCAAAGTGCCACAAACTCCCCAAAATCCAGCAGCAAAGCCAAGCCCCATACTGATGTAAAATCCTAGTGTTATAAGCTCATCCTTATCCTCTTGATTGCTCAAGTCAGTTTTCTCATTTTGATCAGCACACATCTTTTTAAGAGGAGGTCCACAGAGTTGAGGATTTCCAACATAAACAGAGGGATCAAAGCCTTGGAGTTGAGTGCCTGTTGGTATTTTGCCAGACAAGTTGTTATATGACAAGTCCAAGAAACTAAGACGATCTATCCGAGCAAGGCTTGTCGGAATTCCTCCATCTATCTGGTTTCTTGATAAATCAAGCGAATCCAATGACTGCAAGTTTCCGATTTCTGGAATTATTTGACCTGTTAACTGATTTCTCGAAAGGTTTAAAGAAATCAACCCAACAAGCTGAGTGATTTCACTTGGAATCTCCCCTGTTAATCTATTGCTTGAGAGATCAATTCTCTTCACTAGGCCCAAAGTGCTTTTGTATGTCTGCATTCTTCCTTTCCATATGAAGCTTGCATCATTGTCATAATTAGTAGGAGCAATTGACTCATTAACCATACTTCCGCCATAAATATGTGTGCTAGATAAACTTGGATTTACTTTTTGAGCCAGAGCAGTCAAATTATTGAGGCATTTGGGTATGCTTCCAGAGATGTTGTTCATAGAGAAATCCATAATTTGAATGTGTGTTAGATGGCATAATTGTGAGGGCATGCTTCCATTGAAGTGATTAGTGGAAAGCATCAGGATAACCAAATTCTTGAAGCTCACACCTAACCATGTAGGTATTGGTCCTGATAATTTATTATCTCCCAGATCAATAACTTCTAAACTTGCGCAGTTCTTCAACGATGAAGGCAATTCTCCAACAAATCGGTTGCTTCTTAATTTCAAAGTTTGCATTTGAAATAAAGAGCCTATTACCATGGGAATTTTTCCAGAAAAAGCGTTGTAACTCAAATCAAGCATGACTAGAGTCCCCAAATTGCTCCAACAATCTGGAAGTTCTCCAGCAAAACTGTTGCTTGAAAGATTAAGATATGTCAAATTCATATCTGCACATGCACATAGGAAAGAGAGCGACCCTGAAATGTTATTGTTGGAGAGATCCAGATGATAGACTTGTGACGGAGCTGAGGGAATTGGACCTTCTATTCCTCTTATTTGGTTCTGTGAGAGATTAATAATTTCTCCGTTACGAAAATTACTCAAAAACCAACTTGGAAGGATATCAGAAATTCCAGCATTAGAAATATCAAGCTGGGCTAAAGAATCATTTTGAGTTTGAAGCCATTTTGGGAAAAGAGGACCGACCTTGCAGGACGCCAAATTTATGCTCAACAACTGGAAGGGAGGAACCCAATCAGAATGGAACTTTAAAACTAGTGAGTTATAGGATAAATCCAAAGATTGTAAATGGGAGAGTTTTGATAAATGAGTTTCTGAAACCACCCCTTCCAAAGAGTTTTTGCTGAAGTCGATGTCGCGCAGGTACAACATTTGCCTAATACTTTCAGGTATTTTTCCGCTTAATTGATTGGCACTAAGATTCAAGGATACCAAAGATGAGAAGCTTGTAAGATTGTTTAATGACCCCTTAAGAACATTCTCTGAGAGGTCCAGACCCCATAATGAGTTTTGAGCACATCTAGGCAATAGTTGAGATAATTGTCCACTCAGATGATTTCTTTGAAGCCGCAATGTTCCCAAATTACACAGCCTTGCAAACGAATCGGGAATGAAACCAGTTAGATTATTGTTGGAGAGATCCAGATCCACAAGAGAGCTCATGTTTCCAATGAAATCGGGAATGAAACCAGATAGATTATTGTTGGAGAGTTCAAGAATAACAAGGCTTGTACTGTAGTTGGACAACCAAAGAAATATTGACGAAGTGACATGATTATCAGAGAGATAAAGATTTTCAAGAGATGTGGAAGAATTTGTTTTATAAAGAGTAGTGGAAAGAATTGGAGTAGGAGGAGGAGGAAGACTACAGTTCACCAATCTCAAGTCTACTAGTTTAGGGAGCTTATTAAGTACTGCTTCTGGCCAATCGAAAACAGTACTGAGATTGTTTCCGCTTAGGTCCAAATCCGTTAAAGAAGAAAGAGCAGGGAGCCAATTGAGATTTTCTGGTTGAAGCTGATTATAGCTGAGGTCGAGATTTTGCAATTGCGTGAGGTTTCCAAATGAACTTGGAATTTGACCGACCAAATTACAGAAACTGAGACTGAGGTACCTTAGATTGGTTAGAGAACCAATGAAATCGGGAATTTGGCTCCCATTGAAGTTTCCGTCTAGGTACAAATCCGTTAAAGAAGAAAGAGCAGGGAGCCAATTGAGATTTTCTGGTTGAAGCTGATTACCGCTGAGGTCGAGATTTTGCAATTGCTTGAGGTTTCCAAACGAACTTGGAAGTTGACCAGCCAAATTACAGGAACGGAGACTGAGGTTTCTTAGATTGGTTAGAGAACCAATGAAATCTGGAATTTGGCTCCCATTGAAGTTTCCGTCTAGGTACAAAACCGTTAAAGAAGAAAGAGCAGGGAGCCAATTGAGATTTTCTGGTTGAAGCTGATTACCGCTGAGGTCGAGATTTTGCAATTGCTTGAGGTTTCCAAACGAACTTGGAATTTGACCAACCAAATTACAGGAACCGAGACTGAGGTATCTTAGATTGGTTAGAGAACCAATGAAATCTGGAAATTGGCTCCCATTGATGAAAGGTCCAAAGATTGGCTCCGCTTAGGTACAAATACGTTAAAGAAGAAGGAGCAGGGAGCCAATTGAGATTTTCTGGTTGAAGCTGATTATTGCTGAGGTCGAGATGTTGCAATTGCGTGAGGTTTCCAAACGAACTTGGAATTTGACCAACCAAATTACAGGAACCGAGACTGAGGTATCTTAGATTGGTTAGAGAACCAATGAAATCTGGAATTTGGATCCCATTGAAATCAATGAATGCAAGGCCCAAATACGTTAAAGAAAAAGGAGTAGGGAGCCAATTGAGATTTTCTGCTTGAAGCCAATTATAGTTGAGGTCGAGATGTTGCAATTGCGTGAGGTTTCCAAACGAACTTGGAATTTGACCAACCAAATTACAGAAACTGAGACTGAGGTTTCTTAGATTGGTTAGAGAACTAATGAAATCAGGAATTTGGTTCCCATTGAAATCAATGGATGCAAGGTGCAAATATTGTAAATGCTGCAACTCAATCAGTTTAGGACTAATCATCTTACCTTGGAAAGAATATTCAAAGAAAGAATATTCAGGGACAGAATATCCAAGATCAAGTTGAATCACATGGCCAGTTTGGTTGCTACAGTAGACTCCTTCCCATCTGCAACAATCTTGTTTTTCGGCTTCTGAACCCCAAGAAGAGAGTTGATTGGACTCACCCACCAGGTCACGTTTGAATGCAAGTAGTGCTTGCCTTTCCCTCTCTATGCACCTCACTGTCACTTTAGCATCTCTGAGGCTGTGGCTGTGGCTGTGGCTGTGGCCAACTTCTCCTCCTTTTACGTTTTGTAGGAAAAGGATCGATAATGCAAGAAAGAGTTTCAAGCACCTTCCGTCGCCCTTCATGTTAATTGATCAAAAACACTGCAAGTATATATTGATGTATGGTTGTCTCCGTGTTTCTCATATATGCTAGCTTGCATCAGATATATATAGGAAAAAAAGAAGAAAGCCTTTACAAAGAAAAACGCGGTTTAGCTAAAGCAGAGCCACACATTCATATGTACAATGCAAAATTAATGTTATGTAAATCACACTGAGACTAAAATGTTACAAATAAGAATACAAATCACTTGCTAAAGAAAATTCCTAATACTTTGGATTCGAATCTCTTTATTATGGAGGTAATCATAACTTACAGAAACCAAATTAATTATGATGCACGAGCTAAAAAGTAAGATGCAGGGATAACAATTACCGAAACCAAATTAATTATGATGGCTTGGATGAAATGAATGATGATCACAATTCTTAAATTCATATTCCACTGCTTTAATTCTCAACAGAAACCAAATTGATTTTTGTCAATTGTGTGCATGTTTTTTTTCTGTTTCCCCATTGTTCGTTCTTTGAAGGGTTTTGCTTTTTATCACCTTGTTATTTTAATTTTAATTTTTTGTTTCTTAATGTTATACGAAGTTTAGGTTTTTTCTACTTAAGAGTCGAGGGTGGGTCCAACAAAAAATAAGAATCTAGTGTGGCATCTTGCCTGTAATGAGGAGAACTCTCTAGTTATAATTTATAAAAAAGAGCTCTTAGATATAGGTCCAATTTCACTTATGTCATCATAAGTGGACTATACCAAATTTTCTAAAAAAAAGTAGAAAATAACTATACAACGTACAAATTAGGTTTAATTCATGGCGCATCGATACACCTGGCGCATTGTAGAATTTTCAAAGACTTTTAAGTCTCCACAGCCATATGTAACTCACACGTCAAGTATGTGTTGGCTGTCAGATTAGACTAGTTAGAAATGATGAAGAGTTTGCAGAGAAAGATCAACTAAGATTTCTTTTGCTGGAAAAAGGAGGATGACAGATGTAGTGTTCATACTACTATTTTTTTTAATTTCGATAAAAAAAAAAGTACTACTTTTAAAATTTTGGGTTAATTTTTTTAAAATAAAAAGAATTGTGTACGTTCGGTGACATAGCATGCTGTTTTGCTGAATAGTGACAGCTCAATGATGCTCTCATACCATGCCATGTGGACAACCACCCCATATATATAGGAAAAAAGGAAGAAAGCCTTTACAGAGAAAAACACGGTTAAGCCAAAACAGTGCCACACATTCATACAAGACAAAACCATATAAAGGAGTAAATTATCTGCTATATACAATGCATAATTAATGTTATGGAAATCACACGTCAATCACAATGAGACTAGAATGTCAAGGTGCAATTCTAAGTTCTTACAAACAAGAATACAAATCATTATGGAGGTAATTAAATTAAGTACACTCTAATTGTTCCATCATAACTTATAGAAACCAAATTAATTATGACGCATGAGTTAAAAAGTAAGATGCAGGAATAAAAAGTACTATTTTTTTAATTTCGATAAAATAAAAGTACTATTTTTAAAATTTTGGCTAATTTTTTAATATAAAAAGAATTGTGTACGTTCGGTGACATAGCATACTGTTTTGCTGAATAGTGACAGCTCAATGATGCTCTCATACCACGCCATGTGGACAACCAACCCCGTATATGTAGATTCAATTTCAAATACATTTGAATGTATCATTCATAAAGGAAAAAAATTTCTTGTAATGGGAATAACACTATTTTGCTATCTCCACAATAATGCTTGAAAAAATTATCCTTGGTGGTTTGAAACATTTACTAGCATACCTTGTGATTAGTGTGGCAAACAAGTTCAAGGGGAAACGTTTCAAGATGGAGTAAATTTTTTTTTTTAAGGTTAAATAAATTTTCTTTAGATGCAAAGGAAATTACTCAGACAATCAATATGAGATCTATGGAAACACATATTTCACCAGTCAGTAAAAAAATAACACGTGAAAAAGCGATATTCCTTAAATCAACTAATTATCCTATTTAAATCCTATTGAGCATTGGTCCATCTTCGGAATTTGTAACGTTGGGCAAGGAGCTTGCTGTGGACAGCTATCTTCAAGTAGACTTTGAAGTCTTCGTATGCCAACTCATGATGATTGACTCACACAAAAAGACTGTTAAGTCTACATACTTGAGTGTAAACTAGACTTTTAAGTCTTTGCACATCCACATTTAACTCAAACGTCAACAAACGGTAATTTTTTTTTTCCTTTCGCTTTTTTAATTGCTCAATTACTTTATTTTACCATTTTTATGTTTTTTCTTTGAAAGGAGCTCTTAGATATAGGTTCAATTTCACTTATGTCATCAGAATTGGACTATACCAAATTTTCTAAAAAAAGAAGAAAAAAAACTGTACAACGTACAACCAACTCTTATTCACGTCACTATGTGGAAAAAGATAATTGAAGAAAAATTTGTCAGTGGTCCAAGTAAACAAGTATTAAATCAATGAATATTGGGGAAATTAATGGATGAGATCGCGAAGACTTGTGACTTAGACTTCATATGGTGATTTGCCTTTCAACGCAGCTATTGACATAGACTTAATATGGTGATTTGTCTTCCAACGCGTGCCCCAATTGACTTGCAGGTATTAACTCGGCTTGACTTGGTAAGGTGCCTTCTTGTGTCCACTCAACCATTGGCTTTGCTTCCCATCCCCCTAGGCACAAGCTACAAATATCTTCTTGCAAATGTGGACTTGACTTTAAGTGAAACATATGGAAATATCTCTACCCAATATTAATGTAATACCTATATACTTATTGATAATAATAAATGAAAATTGGGTTTTTATTCAACAACTATAATACGAGAGTTTTTCAAAACACTTTGGTTATTGACCAAGTCTATTTTGAAATGCCCCTATAATTTAGGTTAATATTACATGGGGTCTAACAATTACACACAAAAGTTTCTCGTATTATAGTGATGATCATGAAACATTTAAGTATATTTAGTGTTGGATATCTGATCATAGAGTTTCGGAGCAGCTTCTTTCATTTGCAGTCGGATTCTTTGATTTGATTTGTTTTATTGCTCGTTAAATGATTAGTATATGAATTACGTACTCAGTCCTGTTCTTCTGAACTCTTGTGGTCTAAGGAAATTGTGTCACCTACCCTTGGATATAAATTATAATATAAGGGTAATTAAAAAAACAAGTTAAAAAATTAAACAACAACTAAAACTAAAACTAAGGAGCAAAACACGCTCCCACTGAAGCAAGAGAGCTTGGGTGGTGAGATGCATATGGATTGGTTGACGAGCAATTCTCAGTCGGAATAGGGGCGAGAGGCTGAAGACAATGACCAATTCTGAGTCAGGTTGGGTAGTGAGATGCATCTGGATTCTTTTTCTGACAATACCCAACCCATATGAGAGAGAGGGAGAGAAGACAGAGAGATGGGCATCAGAGACATGGGATAGGGGATGAGGGTGGGTTGGGTATTTTATTTTCATTTTTAATTGTAATGGCTTGGATGAAATGAATGATGATCACAATACTTAAATTAATATTCCACTACTTTAATTCTCAACAGCAACCAAATTGATTTTTAACAATTGTACAATGTTTTTTTTTCTTTCCCCATTGTTCGTGTTTTGAAGGGTTTTGCTTCTTACACCCTGATATTTTTCTTTTAATTTTTTGTATCATAATGTTAGACGAAATTTAGGTTTTTTCTACTTAGGAGTCGAGGGTGGGTCCAACAAAAAATAAGAATCTAGGGTGACGTCTTGTAATCTGTAATGAGGATAACTCTTTAGTTATAATTTACAAAAAGGAAAAAGGAGCTCTTAGATATAGGTCCAATTTCACTTATGTCATCAGAAGTGGACTATACCAAATTTTCTAAAAAGAAGAAGAAAAAAACTATACAACGTACAATTGACTCTTATTCATGTCACTATGTGGAAAAAGATAATTGAAGAAAAATTTGTTAGTGGTCCAAGTGAACAAGTAATAAATCAATGCATATTGGCGAAATTAATGGATGAGATCGAAGATTTGTGACTTAGATTTGATATGGTGGTTTGCCTTTCAACCAACTATTGTCTTAGACTTAATGTTGTGGTTTGTCTTCCAACGCGTGCCCCAACTTGCAGGTATTAACTCGGCTTGACTTGGTAAGGTGCCTTCCCGTGTCCACTCAACCATTGGCTTTGAGTCCCATCCCCCTAGACACAAGCTACAAATATCTTCTTGCAAATGTGGACTTGACTTAAGTGAAACATATGGAAATATCTCTGCCCAACCAATATTAATATAATATTTATATATTTATTGATACTAATAAATGAAACTTGGGTTTTTATTCAACAACTATAATACGAGAGTTTTTCAAAACACTTTGGTTATTGACCAAGGCTATTTCGAAATGCTCCTATAATTTAGGTTAATATTACATGGGGTCTTACAATTACACACGAAAGTTTCTCGTATTATAGTGATGATCACGAAACACTTAAGTATATTTAGTGTTGGATATCTGATCATAGAGTTTCGGAGTAGCTTCCTTCATTTTGCATTCGGCTTCTTTGATTTGATTTGTTTTGTTGCTCGTTAAATGATTAGTACATGAATTACTCAGTCATGTTCTTCTGGATTTATGTGGTTCAAGGAAATTGTGGTCACCCACCCTTGGATATAAATTATAATATAAGGTTTATTAAAAAAAAGTTTAAAAATTAAACAACAACTAAAATGAACAAATTAAAACTAAGCAGCAAAATACGCTCCCACTGAAGCAAGAGAGCTTGGGTGGTGAGATGCATATGCATTGGTTGACGAGCAATTCTCAGTCGGAATAGGGGCAAGATGCTGAAGACGATGACCAATTCTCAGTTGGGTTGGGCAGTGAGATGCATCTGGATTTTTTTTTTCTTCACAATACCCAACCCATATGAGAGAGAGGGAGAGAAGACAGAGAGATAGGCATGCAAAAAGGGGGAAGGGGAGGTGCATCAGAGACATGGGATTGGGGAGATTGGGGGTGGGCTGGGTATTTTATTTTTATCTTTAATTATAATGGCTTGGATGAAATGAATGATGATCACAATACTTAAATTAATATTCCACTACTTTAATTCTCAACAACAACCAAATTGATTTTTAACAATTCTACCATGTGTTTTTTTTTTGTTTCCCCATTGTTCGTGCTTTGAAGGGTTTTGCTTCTTACACCATGCTATTTTCTTTTAATTTTTTGTATCATAATGTCATATGAAGTTTAGGTTTTTTATACTTAAGAGTCGAAGGTGGGTCCAACAAAAAATAAGAATCTAGGGTGGCGTCTTGTAATCTGTAATGAGTAGAACTCTCTACTTATAATTTACAAAAAGGAAAAAGGAGCTCTTAGATATAGGTCCAATTTCACTTATGTCATCAGAAGTGGACTATACCAAATTTTCTAAAAGAATAAAAAAAACTACACAACGTACAACTGACTCTTATGCATGTCACTATGTGGAAAAAAATAATTGAAGAAAAATTTGTCAGTGGGCCTAGTAAACAAGTAATAAATCAATGAATATTGGGGAAATTAATGGATGAGATCAAAGACTTGTGACTTAGATTTGATAGATGCCTTTCAACCAACTATTGACTTAGACTTAATATGCTGATTTGTCTTCCACCGTGTGCCCCAACTTGCAGGTATTAACTCGGCTTGACTTGGTAAGGTGCCTTCCCATGTCCACTCAACCATTTGCTTTGCGTCCCATCCCCTTGGACACAAGCTACAAATATCTTCTTGCAAATGTGGACTTGACTTATGTGAAACATGTTGAAATATCTCTGCCCAACCCAATACTAATATAATACCTATATATTTATTGATACTAATAAATGAAAATTGGGTTTTTATTCAACAACTATAATACGAGAGTTTTTCAAAACACTTTGTTTATTGACCAAGTCTATTTTGAAATGCTCCTATAATTTAGGTTAATATTACATGGGGTCTTACAATTACACATGAAAGTTTCTCTTATTATTGATGATCACGAAACACTTAAGTATATAGTGTTGTATATCTGACCATAGAGTTTCGGAGCAGCTTCCTTAATTTTGCATTCAGATTCTTTGATTTGATTTGTTTTGTTGCTCGTTAAGTGATTAGTATATGAATTACTGAGTCCCGTTCTTCTGGATTCCTGTGGTCCAAAGAAATTGTGGTCACCCACCCTTAGATATAAATTATAATATAAGGGTAATTAAAAAAACAAGTTTAAAAATTAAACAGCAACTAAAATGAAAAAACTAAAACTACGGAGCAAAACACGCTTCCACTGAAGCAAGAGAGTTTGGGTGGGGAGATGCATATGTATTGGTTGACAAGCAATTCTCAGTCGGAGTAGTGGCGAGATGCTGAAGACGATGAGCAATTCTCAGTCGGGTTGGCTAGTGAGATGCATCTGGATTTTTTTTTCTGACCATACCCAACCCATATGAGAGAGAGGGAGAGAAGATAGAGAGATGGGCATACAAAAAGGGGGAAGGGGAGGTGCATCAGACACAGGGATAGGGGACGGGGGTGGGCTGGGTATTTTATTTTTATTTTTATTTTTAATTGTAATGGCTTGGATGAAATGAATGATGATCACAATACTTAATATTAATATTCCACTACTTTAATTCTCAACAGCAACTTTAAATTGATTTTTAATAATTTTTTTTTTTTTTTTTTTTTTTTTTTTTTTTTTTTTTTTGTTTCTTTCTTTGTTCGTTGTTCGTGCTGGTGAGGGAGGGTTTTGCTTCTTACACCCTGTTATTTTTCTTTTAACTTTTTGTACCATAATGTTATACGAAGTTTAGGTTTTTTCTACTTAAGAGTCGAGGGTGGGTCCAACAACAAATAAGAATCTAGGGTGGTGTCTTGTAATATGTAATGAGGGGAACTCTTTAGTATATTTATGAAAAGAAAAAAGGAGCTCTTAGATATAGGTTCAATTTCACTTATGTCATCAGAATTGGACTATACCAAATTTTCTAAAAAGAAGAAGAAGAAAACTGTACAACGTACAAACGACTCTTATTCATGTCACTATGTGGAAAAAGATAATTGAAGCAAAATTTGTTAGTGGTCCAAGTAAACAAGTAATAAATCAACGAATACTGGGGAAATTAATGGATGAGATCGAAGACTTGTGACTTAGACTTGATATGGTTATTTGCCTTCCAACGCGTGCTCCAACCGACTTGCAGGTATTGATTCAACTTGACTTGGTAAGGTGCCTTCCCTTGTCCACTCAACCATTGGCTTTGCATCCCATCCCCTTGGGCACAAGTTACAAATATATTCTTGTAAATGTGGACTTGACTTAAGTGAAACATATGGAAATATCTCTACCCACCCCAATATTAATATGATACCTATATATTTATTGATACCAATAAATGAAAATTGGGTTTTAATTCAACAACTATAATACGAGAGCTTTTCAAAACATTTTGGCACGAAGTCCATTTTGAAATGCCCCTATAATTTAGGTTAATATTACATGGGGTCTTACGATTACATATGAAAGTGGATTACACCAAATTTTCTAAAAAGAAGAAGAAAAAAACTATACAACGTACAACCGACTCTTACTCATATCACTATGTGGAAAAAGATAATTGAAGAAAAATTTCAGTGGTCGAAGTAAATAAAGTGATAAATCAATGAATATTTGGGAAATTAATGGATGAGATCGAAGACTTGTGACTTAGAATTGATATGGACCATATGGTGATTTGCCTTTCAATGCAACTATTGACTTAGACTTGATATGGTGATTTGTCTTCCAACGCGTGCCCCAACTGACTTGCAGGTATTGACTCGGCTTGACATGGTAAGGTGCCTTCCCGTGTCCACTCAACCATTGGCTTTGCATCCCATCTTCCTGGGCACAAGCTACAAATATCTTCTTGCAAATGTGGACTTGACTTAAGTGAACTCGGCTTGACATGGTAAGGTGCCTTCCCGTGTCCACTCAACCATTGGCTTTGCATCCCATCTTCATGGGCACAAGCTACAAATATCTTCTTGCAAATGTGGACTTGACTTAAGTGAAACATATGGAAATATCTTTACCCAATCCAACATTAAAAATATATATATTTATTGATACTAATAAATGAAAATTGGGTTTTTATTCAACAACTATAATATGAGAGTTTTTCAAGACACTTTCGTTATTGACCAAGTCTATTTTGAAATGCCCCTATGTACGTTGCAAATAGATGACCAAAACAGAGCCACACATTGTAATTTGAAATCAAGTCCGCTTTGGCTTTGGCTTAGTTAATTAAAATAACACTATAGCTGGAATTAATACATTAATCGGAGTGAGCTTGGATTAAAATGTTAGTGGAGTTTTGCTCACTGTTCTTGCTTTAATTGTACTGTCTTGCTTATTTGTATGATTTATTATTTGCAAGAACCCTCCTCTAGGGCAATGTTCTTCATGTATATTTTATAATTGCCTCTGTTATGATTGGATCTGAATAGATTTGTTTATTTCTCTCAATAAACAAAATAAAAATAAAAATACATCAATCGGAGAACTCCGAATTAATTGTTCTGACAAGTAATTAACACTAATATAAATCGTATTTATTCCTACTAAGCACTCCAACTTAACTTGTAAACTCTTCTCCAGATACCTGTGCGTGCGTGTACTGGCAATCTTCAACACTTGAACTGAAAAGAGGCATTCAGCTACAGCTACTTTTCTCTTAATTTAGATGCTGCAGCTAAATATCAAAGTAAACAAATTAATACCCGTCAATTTGGAGAAAAGAAAAAATGCAATAAGAAAATAATTATAAAACGCAATTAATGATGAGAGAGAAAGAGTACCGTCGCGAGCTTATCTATTAAGCATATGCTAGCTTTAGTTGCCGCTTGATTAAAGCTATCTTCACATAAAGCCAATCATTTAAACCATTCAAGAACTTCAAGTATGCGTATCTCCACGACCCATTGAATATCAAAGTGCCACAAACTCCCCAAAATCCAGCAGCAAAGTCAAGCCCCATACTGATGTAAAATCCTAGTGTTATAAGCTCATCCTTATCCTCTTGATTGTTCAAGTCAGTTTTCTCATTTTGATCGACACACATCTTTTTGAGTATATGAATTACTCAGTCCCGTTCTTCTGGACTCCTGTGTTCCAAGGAAATTGTAGTCACCCACCCTTGGGAATGTGGATGGGATTGGTATCCTTGCCTCACCCTCTTCCCAGTTCCATCACTGCCATGTTAAATATTTGGGTAAACTACAGTAATCCCCCCAACCTATAGGGTCATTTACGAGTTCATACCTGATTTTGGGGACATTTATGAGTACATACTCAACGTCGCTGAAAACCTACAGATTGCCTCCTCCGTTAGCTAGTCCGTCAGGAAATCTATTATCTGCCTACGTGGCGTCTAGCCTTCTGTAATTCAGGAAATCTGTTAAGGGCATTTTCGGCATCTCATGTCCTTGGGTTTCGCGCCCAAAACAGCACGTGGCCTTATGTTACCCCGAATCATGTTCCAGAAACTCGTCATCCATGACACCCCTCACTGAAATCGATTTCCCGCCCAAATCAAAACCAATTGCACAAATTGAAACCTAATCCCCATTTTGCATCGATCGAAAGCGCAAAGAAGGATGGTGTTATATCACAATGAGCTTCCCAACTCTGCTTCTGTAGATAAGCTTATGTCTGATGAAGATGTTCTGAAAATGTGTGAATGTGTGCCAGGAGTAAGGGATATAGATATATTTTTGACACAGTTGGTGATGACCCTTATACCCTTTTAAACAAACACAAACAGATCGAGCTGCAAAGGGTGGAAGGTTCTGGGGTACAAAAACAGAGGTTAGTCGTGATTGAGGATATAGGATGTGCTGATTCTATTCCTCTTATTCCTTAAAAGACAAAGAGAAATGTTGAGCAGCCAACGAATGCAAAGGGTAAAACAGTGAAGATAGTGGAGCAAGAACCAGTGGAGGATTTTGGGGATTTTTCAAAACCTGAGGCACCAAAGAATGCAAAGGGAAAAACAGTGGCTAAGGCAGCAAAGAAGGGAAATGGTAAAACAATGGTTGAGGTAGCAAAGAAGGGAAAGGGTAAAACAGTGGCTGAGGCACCAAAGAAGGGAAAGGTTGCAAGGTCTTTAAAGGATAAGGAAATGGCTGAACCTGAGCCACCAAAGAGTGTAAGGGCTGCAAGGTCTTCAAAGGGTAAAGAAGTTGCTGAACCTGAGGCACCAAAGAGGGCAAGGGCTATAAGGTCTTCAAAGGGTAAATGTGTGGCAATGGCAAAGATGTGGCAATGGCAAGTGCAACAGAATGGGAAGATAGTGATGCATCCTTATCAGATGCATCTAGTTTTGCTGACAGTGAGTACGGAGGGGATAACATTGAAGAGATAACTGAGGAAACCATATTTTTGCAACAATGGATTGCAGACCATGCCCCAGTTGAAGATACTTTTCAGCCTCTTGAAGATGAAGAGATAAATGAGGGTGAATGTGGTGTTGTTAATGAAAGTGGTGTTATTAATAAGGGTAAAGGTGGTGTTGTTAATGAGGGTGAAGGCCCAAGTGGGGACCAACCTTTACATGCTAGTCCAAGTGGGGACCACCCTTCACAAGCTGGTCCAAGTGGGGACCACCCTTCACAGACTGGTCAAAATGAAGACCAACCTTTACAGACTGGTCAAAATAGGGAGCAGCCTTCTCGAACTACGGATTTTCACCACATAGATCTTGAAGACACCAGAATGGAAGAGGGGGATCAAGCAGTGGAGGATGAGTTAAGAAGTGTTCATTCAGATGAAGATGATGAAACAGTTGCAAGGGGAAAAAATTCAAACACTATAACCATGAAACAGACAAACAAAACCCTGTATTTGATACTGGAATGATATTCAGTGACTGCAAGGTTTTCAGAAAAGCTGTTCGTGAATATTGCTTGTTGAGTGGGAAAGAGGTCACTTTCACCAGGAATGAAAAGTATAAACTGAAGGCAGTTTGTAAAGCAGTGAGCTGTCCATGGCAGATTTATGTGGCTTGGAAAAACCCTACAGATCGAAGCTTAGTGGTGAAATACTATAATCTCAATCACAATTGTGTCAAAGTATTTGAAAACACACAAGCCTCAAGTAAATGGTTGACAGAGAAGTTCATGCCTAGGATTCAGTCAAATCCCACGATGCCTCTATAGTCTATAGTGAATGCAGCCTCTTCTGAGTTTAAAGTAGGTATATCTAGGATGAAAGCTTACAGGGCAAAGGCAGAGGCGCTTCGAATGATTGAAGGATCAGTTGCTGAGTAATATGCCATGCTATGGGATTATTGCCATGAGCTGGAAGACAAAAACCTTGGCTCCACAACAAAGATGCAGTGTGAGTTTGTTGATGGTGAAACTGTTTTCAAGCATTTGTACATTTGTTTAGAACCATTAAAGAGATGGTTTAAGATGAACTGTAGGCCTTTTATTGGGTTAGATGTCTGCCATTTAAAAGGGGTTTATGATGGATAGTTGCTTATAGCAGTTGGGATCGATCCCAATAACAAGACTTGGGTGCTAGCATATGCTGTGGTTGAGATGGAAACAAGAGGGAGTCATGGACATGGTTCATTGATCTGTTCGCCAACGATGTGGACATTGTTAATTCCCATGGATGGGCCTTTAAATCTGACAAGCAAAAAGGACTGCCTGGTGCATTTAAAGACATTGTGCCTAATGCTGAGACAAGATTCTGTGTAAGGCACCATTGGGATAACTTCAACAAGAAGTATAAAGGTAAAGTATTGAGGGATCAGTCATGGACATGTGCTAAAGCTACCAATGTACCTTGTTTTAAGTATCAAATGGAAGTAATGAAGATCTTAGATAGCAATGCATGGGAGTGGCTTGCTGAGAAACCACCAACACAATGGAGTAAGTCTCATTTCAAAACACATATTAAGTGTGATATGATGTAGAATAACTTGTGTGAAAGCTTCAACAGTAATATCAAGACAGCAAGGGATAGGCCAATTATCACATTGCTAGAGATGATCAGGTGCTTGTTGATGAGAAAGATCCAGTGGAGGAGGGACAAGATCAGCAGTTGGCCTCATCAAATATGCAAGAACATTTTTGACCATGTGCAACAGAAAAAGTTAGAAGCATGTAATTGTACTTTGCAGTGGTCTGGTGGTCCTAAATATCAAGTGGATGCAAGAAGAGGTGACCAGTATGTGGTGGATTTGGATAATCACACTTGTTCTTGCAGAAAGTGAGACTTGTCAGGCATTCCTTGTGCTCATGGAATTGCTGCCATACATTACAAAAGAGGTAAAGCTGTGGAGGATTATGTGCATTCATACTACAGCAACGACAGTTACATGGCCCTCTATAACAATCTCATTATGGCAATTAATAGATCACATCTATGGGAGAGGCCAACCAAACAACAATAAAGCCACCAGCCTACACTAGACAACCTAGAAGACCTAGAAAAGTGAGGATAAAAGGAGTTGAAGAGAGAATAGATAAGATGTGAAAAAATTGTTGGGAAGACAAGGAATGCAAATGAGGTGTAGTATTTGTGGCTCAACTGGCCATAACAAAACCATTCACCATCGGAATCTACCTCAAAAGGAAAAAACCCTATCAAGGGGTAAAGGAAGATCAAGAAAAATATCTAACCAAGACCCTGCAGTTGTTGCTGTGAGTGCCTATTTTTATTGCTAGGCTATTGATGAAATGTTATGTTGTTTCTTCCTTAAAATGGAAAAGCTATTTTATTGTTTTATTGTTTGAAGCTGAAAGTGTTTTTTATCTGTAGGATGAAGCAAAAGCAACTGTAAGAGTTAGGAGAAAGCTTGCATATGCAAGGCGAAAGGCTGCTGCTGCTGCTGCAAAGAAGGTTGCACTATATGCTTCCCAGCCAAATGCAGCTGAAATTGCTGGAATAAGATTGAGAGCATCCAAGAGACAGAGAACATAGGCTCTTAGTTCTTAGTTTATGCAAATTCCATTTTATTTTGAACTAGTACAACTTCTGGTTTTGTGATGTTGCCTGATAAGTTTACTTTTGGTAGCTGTTTTATTGTATTCCAGATTAGGTGCTCATGTTCATTTTGTAAATTTGAGCTGCAAAGGTTGGAAAAGTATGTATGTATTTTGAACTCAAAATATAATGGAATTTGCCTTCAAGCAATTGTAACGTTGGGCAGGGAGCTTGCTGTGGACGGCTATCATCAAGTAGACTTTGAAGTCTTCGTATGCAAACTCATGATGACTGACTCACACAAAAAGACTGTAAAGTCTTTTCAATTTTTTGGTTCCACAAAAAGACTGTTAAGTCTACATACTTGAGTGTGAACTAGACTTTTAAGTCTTTGCACATCCGCATTTAACTCAAACGTCAACAAACGGTAATTTTTTTTTTCCTTTTCCTTTTTTAATTGCTCAATTACTTTATTTTACCATTTTTTATGTTTTTTCATTCTTTGAAAAGCCAACTGGTCGTAGAGACAAAGCTCCAGAAAATTGTTTTTCCACTTGCTAATTTCCCCGAAAGGCCAATAAGCTGCTTGGGAATCTCTTTGGAAAGTGTGCAATTGTGTGTTTTCAAATGAAAGACTGAAAAGTGAATATGAAGGACGCGTGCTCCAACTAACTTGCAGGTATTGACTTGAGAGACTGAAAAGTGAACAAAAGGAAGAGAGACTCACCACTTTAATTCATGTCCCTACGTGGAAGAAGATAAATGAAGACTTGTGATTTAGACTTGATATGGTGATTTGCCCTTCAATGCGTGTTTCAACTAACTTGCAGGTATTGACTTGACTTGACTTGGTAAGGTGCCTTCCCGTGTCCACTCAATCAATGGCTTTGCATCCCATCCCCTGGGCACAAGTTACAAATATTTTCTTGCAAATGTGAACTTGACTTAAGTGAAACATATGGAAATATCTCTACTCAACCTAATATTAATATAATACCTGTATATTTATTGATACTAATACATGAATATTGGGTTTTTATTCAACAACTATAATATGAGAATTTGGTTATTGACCAAGTCTATTTTGAAATGCCCCTATAATTTAGGTTAAACATGGGGTCTTACAATTACACACGAAAGTTTCTCTTATTATAGTGATGATCACGAAACACTTAGTATATTTAGTGTTGGATATCTGATCACAGAGTTTCGGAGCAGCTTCCTTCATTTTGCATTCGGATTCTTTGATTTGATTTGTTTTGTTGCTCGTTAAGTGATTAGTATATGAATTACTCAGTCCCGTTCTTCTGGACTCCTGTGGTCCAAGGAATTTGTGGTCACCCATCCTTGGATAATAATATGATGATATTATAAAAAAAAAAAAAAAAAAAACATTCATAAAATAAAAAATTAAAAAATTAAACAAAAAAAAAAAAAAAAAAAAAAAAAAAAAAAAAAACAAAGAACAAAACACGGTCCCAGTGAAGAAAGAGAGCTTGGGTGGTGAGATGCATATTGATTGGTTGAGGGGCAATTCTCAGTCAGAATAGGGGCGAGATTCTGAAGACGATGAGCAATTCTCAATTAGGGTAAATTATCTATATATAAAATACGTAAATATTTTTAAAGAAAAAAGGTACATTAATTATAAGAAAATAGGTACATTATTTATAAAAAAAAAAAAAAAAAAAAAAAAAAAAAAAAATACTTGAATTAGTTCTATGAAATAAATAGGTACATTAGTTATGAAAAAATAGGCACGTTATTTATAAAATTAAAAAAGGGTACCAATTTACTTATATTTTGTAGGTATAAGAATTTGCCGAGATTGTACAGGTAGATTAATTATCCATAATTAATTTTTTTAATCTAAAAAAAGTACAATAAATCAGATTTTTAAGTTTAATTAGGTAAATTGATGAGTCGGATCCAATAATTGGGTTTTACATATAAAAATTGGGTTTTATTTATAAATAAAATAAAATAATGGGTTGTAGGTAAGACATAATTAGTTTGAAGGGCAAAAGTCATATATATTGACTATAAAAGGAAAGTAATATAGTAGTTTAGATTTAGAGTAGTTTGGACTATATCATTGTGTTTGTATACATCTGCAAATGTGGGTTAGGCTAATTGGATAGGACGGTGAGCTAATCCCTTACACCGAAGTTCAAACCCCTTTCCGTGTAAATTATATTAGTTTAATGAGTTCAGAGACTATCGCTTGTATACCCAAAAAAGAAATAGTAGCTTTGGTTCTTGTTCCCCTCATTTTATACTTTTTCCTTTTCTTTTTTTTTTTTCCTAAATAATGTAGGGGAGGGGGAGGGGGGCTTCCAAAGTGTAGATCTTTCACCTTCAGTATGCAGGGTGTGCGCTTGTGTGCTGTAACATTCAATGAGGAGTTAATCTTACGAAATCCTCTGGTTATAGAACGTACTCCAGACTCTTTCTCAGTCAATACCACAGTCTCTGGGAAAAAACAATTAAAGGAAAAAAAAACTCTCTTCATGATGGAAGTAGACAAGTGATGACTTAATTGTTTTAGTCAAATATGGGCTCGTCTTTTTCTAGTCTCAAATACACTACAAAGAAAAGTAGACTTACAAGTCAAAAGAAGAGAAGGTGAAATTGGTATTTAGGTGAATGGGGTAATTTAAAATCTCAACAGACATATCTAAGACAATAATGATTAATTGTTCATGGAAAGAAAAAAAAATTGATTTGCAGACTAATGGTCTCAGGTTCGAACTTTCATGGCATCTTGGTAGTGTATATGAGAAACCACACTCTCATCTAGTTTAGACTATCGCTTCCTTTTCAACGCTATATATATATAGTGTATGTGAGAAACCACTCTCATCTAGTTTAGACTATCGCTTCCTTTTCAACGCTATATATATAGTGTATGTGAGAAACCACACTCTCATCTAGTTTAGACTATCGCTTCCTTTTCAACGCTACATATTTTAAGTTAAAGGTCCCGACACACTAGTGCCTATCCCAAAGTGTTTAATACTTCCAAGCTATTGCAATTCTCTTTTTGGTTTTTTTGAGATAATTGGTGTGTCGGCACCTTACGTTGTGTTATAAGCATGAATTTGTAGGAGGAGTGCAAAGGGAAAATTGCTTTGTTGTGCTGCCTCACCGGCGGAAGGGTGATCTTTTTGGAGCCCAACAGGCACACTGTTGGTGCATCTGGCTGGCTAGTTTACAATGATTTCCTTCAAGTGACAAATCAAGACGTGGTTTTCCATTTCGTTCTGTGGATCATCCCGGGGTATAAGTGGTGAAACATAATTGCCGTCATTGCTCTTGTGGTTTCTTCCTTTCCCCAACCTATCAAGCTCTCCATGGAGCACACACACTTGTGCTTTACTTTCGGATGAGACAGCCTTCCGTATATTGCAGTAATCGGCTACACTTTCTTATTGAAACTCATTCGATTTATATATGTGAATTACAAAAGAACCTGTAATGAACAAGAGAAATAATACCTCCTCTCAAACAAGAGAAACAAATAGATAAAGAAGATATATAAATGGATTTAAAGTATGTCTTTGAAGCATGATTAAAAGCCCATAACATGTCAAGAAGCTCAGTGTGTGTAATACTGGATCAATGAGAGAGAGAGAGAGAGAGAGAGAGAGAGAGTAAATGCTGATAAGTGACTCTCTATGCAAAAGTTTAAACCCCTGAGAAATAATTGGCTCGGTATCATTTATCAAGAAAGTTAGACCCAGGATTGACTAATAAGCAGTATTATCCACTCTGTCTTCTCATCATCAGGAAGATGTTTGAGTAGAAAGACCTCTTCTGGATTAGTATTCAATAACATGTGTACGGCCTTCAAAACTTGCAATCTACTGAGGTTCAGTATCTTTGAGACCACTGCAAGTACATCCTCTCCTCTGAGTTGCGGTTCATTTGACTTGCCCAAAACTCCTTTTGTGAGTCTGCCGCCTCACCAATTGCTTGTGCCAATGGATCCTTTTTCGCTTTCTTATTTGGATGCAAGCCGGAAATTGCAGTTGATAGATGTGTCGAAGTATGTGAGTTGGGAATGAAATTCTCATCATTTTCTTGTTTAACCTCCATATTTTCTTCAGCACAATAACAGAGAGAAAGTAAAGCATAAAAAACATCCACTAGAGCAACAAAGAAGTGCATTAACTGCTGACTATTACAACCACAAGGACACAAGATGTGCATTAACTAATTAATGCAATCAAAATCAATCTTACATATATGATCAGAAACAGAGCTTCTCTTTAATACTAAATCACTAACCACAGAAGCATTCGGTGCTAGTTGCTAACTTCAAGTTTATTACTTTCCTTCCTCCAGTAAAAACCCGAAAATTTTCTTACCAGCTGTACATAAAAAGATATTCAAGGGACAATTCTTTTACAGTAATAGGCTGAATCAGTTCCTGCAATCAACTCAGAGGTCCTTTAGATAAAAAATATACTTAAGCCTAGAACTAGGAAAATTCTTTTGAAGCTTATGGTGCTCGCTACTTTAACTTGTATCTTTGAAAATATATAACATTAAATAGAATTCTATTTATCATCCAGAACAAGGCAAACTTCAGATTCTATTTATCTTGTACTGCAAGTGTGTATGACAAGGGAGTGATAAGTGGAAGTGGAAAATCATAAGACAGAGGAGCAGAAACCAATGAGAGGGTATAAAAGAAGAACAACTGAATGAACAAATGGAAACAAAAACCTAACAATTCATAGATAATCAATGGATTAGAAACGAAAGTTGAAGACAGGGTTTAACAAAGCTGAAAAGGACAAAAACACATATAAACTAAAGCAAGCTCAACATTAGAATGACCTGTAAATGGCTCTTTCAATGGGATGCCCAAATGTACGCAACCGGTGAGCTCAACGACCTCATTGGCAAGTCGGGCCATGCGCTTTCTCAGCTTTATAGAAAACTTCTCAAAGCTTTTCGTCTGGTACAGAGGAGGCTGATTAAGCTGTGGAGGACTTGGCTCCGAAGCAGGTGCAGGAGGAGGAGTAAATCCAACAACAGATTCTTCACTTGTTTCATCTGTCCTATCATTATGAAACATCATCTAGTTGATAGGTGGCATAAGTTGTTTAAGCTGATCCGTAGGATCAACTCGCACCTTAGACGCCATGGCAAACCTAGTGATCAACGACCCAAAAGGCAGGGAATGAGTTTCGTAGTAGTCATCTGGGGTTGCAGCCAGGCAAATGGCTCGGAAAATGTGGGCGGGCAGATCAATGGAGACATTATTATTCCCAATGGCATAAAGGAGGCTTGCTCTGTAAAAATCAATTAAGCTACTGTCAAGGAGACGTTCTTCAGGGTCGGTATCAGCACTCACTATTGTCTTAAAGTATTCTGTAAAACTTAGTCAGATTGCGATGGCTTATTAAAATCTCAGATTGATTGCAATAGCAGAAAGCTGGCTGTGATCTTCATTCGCATTCATTAACTTTGCGAGGGCAATATGTACATTCAACTTTTCCCAATCCTTCTTAGTAATCTTGATTCCCTTTTCCTTATCATGAACATCGGTAGCTCGACTACGAATTTCCCTTAAACAGCTCGGGAATCTGCCTCCAGAAAGAGAGATTTCCCAAAACGATCATGGTATTTGTAAAAGCAAATTATTAAACCTCTGAGAATTCTGTGGCAAAATTAATAGTGCCAATTTTTAAGTTTTAGTTCCAACCTATAACCCAATTTGTACAAATTTATGATTTTTAAAACTCAAGACCCACACATTTATGATCAAATTGAATGATTCGGTCGAGTTGACCCAAAATTGTGCCCACCCCTAAAGAGAGATAATGTAGGCCGTGCAGTTCGTAAAATGAAAAGTATGAATGGAAAGATCCAAGATCATTTGCCACTAACAAAAGCACGGATAAAACATCCCCACGCATAATGCATGCTTAATTAAGTTGCTTTTTTTCGTTTTGTTGTTTCTCAATGGGACTTGCCTTTCTCATTTTTAACATTTTGTGTTAGCTTGTTGTATTTCCAGTAATATAAGGAACATGAGACGCAATCAAATGAAAAACACACTCAAGGTACATCAATAAAAAAATATAGAAAAGTATCACACACTCGAAAAAAGATTGGGGCTCTTGGAACTTTTTCGATTTTGTTTTCTCTAACTTTATCTCTTTTGTTACATGATAAGTCATTTAAATAAATAAATAATTTTTTTTTTACACAAGCAATATTGGAAAAGGTGGGAATCAAATCTAAGACCTTGGCTGCAAAATTCAGAGCTTCACTTTAGTCCATACAATTCTTGCCATTTATGTTTTGTAATTCAATAGTTATTGTAATTTGAGGGTAAAGACTTAATCTTGTTATCTTTTACCGTTAAGAATGGACACTTACTATATTTGGAATGGTAATGTCTCGATATTTTGAACCAAACAAACAACGAAACGGGATAGAAATGTCTTGATATATATATTTGGGATGATAATATCTCGATATTTTGACATCTCTTCTAAAAAAGAAATTAAAAGGAGAAGAATCAAATCTTATTATCCCTAAAAAAAAGGCCAATACAAATAATTAAAACTCCTTTCAATAATTTTTTAAATTAAAAAAAAACCTATATCGTATCAAATAGGTATGCATACTATCCTGACTTTTTAGCAAAAAAAAACCTAAATCCTTTTTTGTAAAGTCGTCGAAGAAATTTACAAGTTTTGAATTACCCAGTAAAAAAAAAGATATAATTTTATGCATTAAAAGATAAACAATAGAAAAGCTATGAACTCAGCAGTTCCATATGTTGTTAGGGGTGAAAAGAACTAGAGATGATTTCCATTTAAGAGAAGGGGAGGAAAATAATCAAACTCTTAGCCAAGTATATAAATAAAGTAGTCTATACCTGTAAGAAAGAGCATGTCTCGTCCACTTGGACTGAACTTTCCAGGGTTGATAAGAGTTTGTAGCAATTTTATATTAAAATTACATGACCCATTTTGTGTAATATTAGTTTTCTTTTGTCTTACGCTTATTTTGTGTGTTGTTTTCCACGGTAGTACTAGAGATACACCAACTTTTAAGTGTCAACTAATATATGACAATATCTTATTTGTTATGAATAAATAAGTGCTAAAATTAAAATACTGCCATATCAGTTGATATATCTTAAATGTTAGTTTCTCTAGTACTATATCTCAAAACTATACACACAATTTCTAAAAGCGCAAGAGTTGCAATATTATTTTCCAGGAATCTACCCTGAGTGTTGGTAAGGTGAGGCAAACAAAATCAGCTCCAATAAAAATAGACACCAATATATCAAAACTGTGGTCACTCCCTCACCCTACAAATTTAGAAATGAGCTAACATCAGAAAACGTTGGGGGTCATTCTCAATATGGGCAATCGGAACCCACCCACTAACTAATCAGTTCCTAAAATTTTTTATATAAAATGATAAAATTAAATAAAATTTTAAAAAAATACCTTAAAAAATCCCAGCCCCTCCTCGGACCCACACCAACCCCATCCCTCTCTCTCTGGCGTCAGCTCGTCGGTGAAACACCAAAACCCAATTCCCGTAAGAAAAAAGAAAAAGAAGGAAGATTTTTTGAGAGTAACAAAGCAACACACAATTCAAATTTCAAATTTCATAATCGAAATAAATAAAAAATATAGGAAGGAAACTTTTTGATAGTAACAAAACAAACATCAATGGAAAATCAAAGCAGAATGATTAGGCTATGACTGGGACGAAGCGACTACAGAATTAGAAAAATAGAGAAGCTTGATTTCAACTTGCATATGCTCGTGGTCTGAATGTGTTCGTGACAGCGGTGCCCCGCCCCTTCCCCACCAGAGCACTCTCCCTCTCTTCGTCCCCCCCTCTCTCTTCGTCCGACTCTCCTCCCAGATCCCCATCCCTATCAATATATACAAATTGTGCTTGGAGGGAGGTTTGGGGGGAGAGTACAGGTGAGAGAGTTGTGCTTGGAGGCTCGTTCTCTCGCCGAACGATTAGCAGCCTCGAGGAGCTAGGTCTGATCGGCATCGGCAGGACCTGGACTCAAGAAGCCTCTCGAAGGAGAGGTAGATGGCGGGGGGGCGGGGGGAATCAGAGAACTCGAGAAAATGGGATGGGGGAGAAAGGGATGGAGAGAGAGAGAGAGAGAGAGAGAGAGAGGGATCGGGAGGTGCGACTGTGCGTCGGTGAGAGGGGTGGGGAAGGCTATGCGTCTGGGTTTTTTATTATTATTATATATTTAGTTTTTGGAGTCCCGTTCTCCTGGATCCCTAGGGCATGTTTGGTATGGCTCACTAAATGGGACTGTGTTATATTGGACCTGAAGCCCATGTTTGGTTAGCAAGGGGACTAACTTAAATGGGATAGTAGAGCCCAATAGTAAAAAAAACGCCTCACTCGTTTTTTTTATACAGAGAAGCTCAAAATGGGTTCGCAAAATAAGCCTTCGCTATATTGAACACGCCTCTCCAGTTCGCGACTCCTTCTCTACGACTCCACCTCTCCTTCGTTCAACATCGAATCATCTTCTTCGAATCTTGACGCAGGCAAGTTTTTCTAGTCATTATACCTCTCTTATTCCTTCTTCCATCTCTTTGATTTTTGCAAATCTCCTCAACAATTTTGACTGTGCTCTGAGAATCTCTCCTTCCTTTTCTCTGTTCTTTCTTCTTCTCTTCTCTAATTTTCGTAGAATCTGTAGTGACATATATATACATGATGTTAATTGGCAATTAATTTGCAATTGGGTATTTCAGAAAACCTAGAAATTCAGAAGTAGAGTAGACTTTTGGCATGCATCTTGAGTTTATTGAACTTACTGTTTCAGTTTTTATGGATTTCATTACTATCTAATGGATTGCATTACTTACTGGTTCATGTGATCCTTGTCAAGATCCACTGCTTTTTATTATTCGGCCTTTTGAGACTTGTTGTCTTCTTCTGTCTATCATCTAAGGGTTAGGAATTTTTCTTTTCCTTTTTTGGTATATGATCTCATGGTTATGATTGAAGCTTGGTTCGTACACGTATCTGCTTGATTGCATTTGCATGGATTCTTTCGAGTTTAAAGCGAGCCCTTCTTCACGAAGGCTTGTTTGTTTGGACAAAGCCAAACCATAGGACATTTACAAAGAACTATTATAATGACTGTTTACAACCCAAACTTTTCCAACATATGGGTGCCCAATGGCTTTCAATTAATTTTGGCATATTAGATGTTGTCTGTCTTGAATTCAATGTGATAGTTTGAAGGTCAATGACATCACATTGCTTAATTGCAAAAATACGTTGACCAGGATTTGCACACAGTCGCTTTATAATTACATATACCGATATGCAATTGCACAACACTACTTGCAATCGCTCAGTAATTGCATATACCGATATGCAATTGCACGACACTACTTGCAAGTGCATCAACCCTCCATGATGTCAAGTGGGTTTGATGAGTGTAGATTTTAAACTTGCTTTTGTTATTATTATTTTTTTTAACATATTGAAAATAAGCTAAGTGGTGCCTTGTTTTATCATAGCACTACAAGGAGGCAGCTGAATGGAGGAGCAAACTCATTTTGGAGAAGCCACAAAACAGATCTATATTCATGTATTTGGATGATGATATCAAGAAAGTGTTTGTTGAGCAGTTGCTTAGTGACAATGCTTGAGGACATGGCCTAGCTAAGTTTGATGCATCTATCTTTTTGGAAACACCACAAATTGTGTAACATTTTGCTAGCATTAAAGCCACATGGTTCATGGTTGTAGGGCTTATTAGTTTCATTTTGAAATTGTGGATGTTTATTTGTATGTATTAATGATAGAATTGTGTGTAGCAAACTAAACCTCTAATTTCTGAGTCATATAGATGACTTTGGCATATATGAAAAATTTCTAACTTTTGCACATTTGAAATGTACATGTGAATTTGGTTTGGAGGAAAAGAAATCTATATTGTCAATTTGGTAATTCTAATAACAAAAAAACTTACATTTAATTATTTAAGAATTATTATTTTTAAATATAAAATAATTATTTTTTAGTCACACACAGCACCAAACATAGGTCTTCATTATTTTTACAATCCAGCTTCTCAGTCCGACGCAGCACCAAACGTAGGTCAGTACTTAATCCAGTTTAGTCCAATCCGAGCCCAATCCGAGACCCCCTATAGTTCAACGAAATTGTGATCAACCACCCTCATATTGGATCTAAGAGTTGAGAAAAAAAAACTAATAAAAAAAACCAAACAACCACCACCATCATCCGATTGAAAAAAGGCAGAACTTTCCACCACCACGTGATCAACTTCCACCATCTCCTTCATACAATGGAGAAGATCAACCTCCATCTCCACCTTTAGAAAATTCTAAATAAAATCTTTAAAAACAAGATCTCTATAAAAATAAAAATAAAAGGCAGCTCCACACCATATCTCCCCATCCCGTCCCAGACGCACATCCACCCGCCCCTCTCTGTAT